GAGCTTCCAGACTGAGTCAGACTAGAAAGAAAGGTGTGGCAATCTATTTCTGATAATGAGCCAATGGAAACCATGTGGGTCACAGAACACTGTTTGGCTTTACTTGCTTTGTACACCTCACTGGGAGGGATCGCACACTGGAGGTGGCATCACATGGGGTGAGACAGTGGCCAGGCGAAGGCGAGGGAGACTCTTAGTAACATGTGTTGGCAGAGCTGTGAGGATGGACTCGAACCTGCTGGTGATTTTGAGGAAGGCATTCTGCCATGAGAGTCAGCTCATTGGCAACTATATATCGGTCTATCATCTATCTATCTTCTCTCATCTCATCACCACCAACTGTAACCTTATTTTTCCTCAACTTGCTGGGAAACTGTAATTGTTGTTAGAGGTATTGAGTTGGCTGTGACTCAAGACACTTTCAGAAAAAAAAAAAACCACCTAATTTTATGAGTGTTCCAGTGGTGTACATGTTTGGACAGTGCTACAGGTTTGGTATCCAACCCGTACCCCCCCCCCCCACACACACACTAGTATCCTGGTGACCAGGAGCACCCTTGAGTGTGACCCTTACTGCTGGAAGCCGTGGGTTTGTCATCTATGAGCAGAAACCTTTCCTGCCTTTGTTTCAGTTGGGTAAGCCTTAACTGTTAAGGTGTTTTTAAGGCATGAATTCAAGCGTCTCTCTTAGAGCATTCTGTTATTTTTCATTAAGTTGTGGGTTCCCTCCAGGGGAGCTGTTGGGCTCTGCAATGTTACTATTAGCAATAACATACTTTGAACGCATGTCCTGTGTCTCTAGGGCAAGTATATAGCAGGTAGGCATTTGTTGAATGTTTACAATGTGCCAGTCAGTATGTTCAAAGTTGTGCAGGGATCTTCTTGTTCCATGCTTACAACTGCATGAGGTAGATTCAATTATCTTCACCCCTACACTCCCACACAACCACACCAAACCTCAAAACTGCAGGTTACAGATAACGTCACTGGCCCAAATGCATGCATTCTTTAAGTGGGTGCCACCAAGATTGTGTCTGGTTCTGACTTCTAAACCCATGTTACTGAGTACAATCAAATTATTTAAGTGATGAACACAGTGATAGTAGCATAATAGGGGGGCATGACCAAATGCTCAGTTCTGTATTAAATCTATTCGTAAGGCATTCTCTAGTCTTGGGCTACTTAGACTTTCTCTGTTAACCTTGGCAAATGCTATTTCCATATCAGAATCTGATAAACAATGCCAAAGCAAATGGTCTCATCATTATGCAGTGTGCTGTCAGTCATTGGGGTCAGGAGTAGAACCTCTCACTTCCCCTGGATTCATGATTATTGTCCCTGTAATGACAATTGTTTGGCACTAGGGGTGGCGAGTGAGCATCCAGGTACACTGTGTTCAGCAAGGTGAGATCTAGAATGGTAGTCTTAACTGGCTGTAGGACAAGCACTAGACTGCTAGGGAGACTTGAACTGTGAGGTTGGAGGTTCAAACTCACCAGTCTCTCCTAGAAAACCCTGTCCAGGTCACTATGAGTCA